TCCGCTGACGCAAGAATAACAAGAATTTTAATAAAAAAAAATTTCAGATGTTCTAAAAAGGATGAAGAAAATTACTAAAATAATCCGAAACACTTTGGTCTTTCCTTTAATTAATAATGGAAAGATGTCGAGGATAAAACTTAGTTTTCGTTAAGTTTAGGGTATTTTTTCATCATAGTGTTCCATTTTTCGGCAAATTCTCTCTTTTTTAACAGCCACGTCGTATGAAAAAATGTTCTTGTACAAGAAGATACAAACACAAAAAGAATAAGCATTTTCCGAAAATGGAAAAAAGTGATGTGTTATTTTATTTATTTATTTATTTATTTTCATAAAATTGTCGATTAACTTCGCTGACGAACCATAGACATCGAGTTTATTCCCCTCGGGTGGACCATTATGTAAAAGTTGATCTTTTCCAATGAATAGCTACAGTGTGTTATCCACTGGCGTGTCCTGGAAAAATATGGCGAGGTAAGCAAATAACACTTTCGACGAAAAATATTTATATATCTTCTATATAAATAAAACGCAATAAACGTATGTGCGTCCGTCCATTTGTTTTTCGATCTCGGCGAATCATAAATAAACTAAAGTAACAAGTAACTTTTATTTAAAGTTAAATTTAAATATCGAACAGAGTGGAAGGTTTTAAAAACTATTCTTTATTAAAATCTTATCTATAATTTTGCTTTTCGTCGCAATTGCAATTGATATCGTCTCTAATTAAACCGTAGGGCACCTCGAGGCGGTGTAATGGTTTGCAAGCTTGTCTTGCTAGAACAATTACAACTGAGTCGTGATTTCGACACTCGCTGGGTGCCCCATACTTTCGGCCTTGTGCCACATCTGAGCTACCCTTGGAAAATCACTGGGCCCCTCGACGTGGTGTAATGGTTAGAAAGCTTGTCTTACTAGATCAATTACGACTGAGTAGTGAGTTCAATCCTCGCTGGGTGCCCCATACTTTCGGCCTTGTGCCACATCTGAGCTACCCTTGGAAAATCACTGGGCACCTCGACGTGATGTAATGGTTAGAAAGCTTGTCTTGCCCAGATCAATTACGACTGAGTAGTGAGTTCGATCCTCGCTGGATGCCCCATACTTTCGGCCTTGTGCCACATCTAAGCCTGGCTTATGAAATCGCTAATTAAACCGTAATTAAAACCTAAGTGGGGCACGGTACGTTGCTCATATGTTTTTCCTTCTTTTTATGGCACGCGTACTATGATGTATTCGAAATATTACATAGTTCGCATTCCCTAATGTTTTTTTAAGAGTGACTTTATGTGAAGGCATAAAAAAGAATGGTAAAAGAAAATAAAAATTGCGCGCAAAATAAATGTAAACAAACGACAGAGGTCAGTTGCGTATACGAAGAAAGATTATGCCGAATTAAGTAGTCGAGTAAAATAATTTTATTATTTCTAAATTCTTATAACTTTTACGCACATAGGACACTGAAGGTAAAAGTCCAAAGGCTCAAGAGCCTCCGCAAGAGGAGGGCTTCTAGGCTAGTACATAATATACTAGTACATAATATCCGTTAAAATTTCACGGTTTTCCTATTTGAATTTTCTGATGAATCTTAATTCTTAAGTTAATGACTGAATAAATTCATAGCGAGTTCTACGACAATAAAATATCCGTAGAAATTCTCCTATCGCATCGTCAAATACTTGAGCTTAACAACGTTATTAGCAATCATAAATATGAATGTTGGTCGTTATTTAAAGAGGTAGGGAAAATGAAAAGATTTGAAACTGACAACTTTTCTATTTCGCTGAAACAGATGTTAAATACATAAGTGTTACCGCCTCTTCTGCCTTCATTCTTTCTTTTATTTTCTCAATTAGCGTCTCTGATATGTCTTTTCTGTCTTTCCTCACGATCACAGCGGAACAGACTGTTATTTATGAGGTATTGGCAGGATGTTTCTTTCTTTCTTTTTCTCACTGAAGCCAAGTAGCGTCTGGTATATCTTTTCCATCTTTCTACGTGATCAAAACGGAATAGTCCATTATTTCTTAGGTTTGGCAGAGCGTAACGTACGTGCGTACGCACGAACTAAGGAAATAAGGGAGGAACAAGCAGAATTATAATAATATAATATATTATTGTTGTCGGCTTTATTTTGTATCCAAGAATTTAATTTCTATCCGCTGATCGCTTCCATGATGATGAAGGCATTGATGACTAAATTCGCTGCCAACGTGCAGGTTCAGGAGTAGAAGCTTCCAGTTTCACTAAAAACTTCTTCCGCTGTCAATTCCCTATCGCCCCGTGTCTTTGCAAGAGTTGGTTGGAGGTGAAAGAAAATCAGAGTAGAAGAAAGTGCCGGTGGCGTGAATATGCTTAAGGTGAATTTCAACTCGCCAGGATATGACACACACATTTGATTTCATGACCTGCCTCTCCAGCACATATGGAATGAGACATACAGAATCCAGTTATGAAATACGGACAGCCGTTGACTATGTTATAATTTCGGGTGGCGCCTTCTGTAGCATGTCCGTGATGCGTAGCCCTGTTCATCCGCTGGTTCAATCATTGAGATCTGATGTAATAATCATCCGCTTGTTCTACCGATTTGGTTGGTCGCAATATTTACTACATAAGAAATAATCTAATATTGATGTTTTTTTTTTATAATTGTAGAGTATTTGTAGAAACCCTTAACATAAAAAAAAGAATCTGTAACTGTTTTAATTTTAGAATTGTGGGTTTAAATGTATAAAAAAAATTGATGACACATTTAGCCAGTTAAGAGTTGACACACGCTCAGGGCATTATTGTAAAGTATGATGGCGACTGAGTTTTAAAAAAGTATTTAAATATGTGAAAGGTGACATGTCTGCTTAGCCTTGATCAAGGGATTGTTGTTGAAAGCATTCTATCACTAACATTCAGACATTATATTCATTGGAACCATTATACATTGTCTTGTACTTAAACAGGAAAAGTTAACTAAAAAATTAAAAAGCAATTCTTATCTCTTATTTTTAATGAAACTTGTAGCAATACATACATAAAGGTTTTATTAAATTCAATTGAGCTCAATCTGTTTAATTTTTCATTGTATTTTTCCATCCCCTTGTTCCATTGTTAGGGTCTTTGGGGTTGGTCTCGTTTAGTCTGGGTCCTCGTCGATCAATATAAATAAGTAGTAGTAATAATAACTTATAATTTTAAACACATTTCAATTGAATTCCTCTTTCATCGAACCAGCATCAGACTGTTGTTGCTCATAGTAACAAAATGTTCCCGACTTTTAGTTTTACCACAAATTTACTCGATATTCCTTCTGGAAGTGTCGGGAAAATGCTGTGGAAAGGGTTACTGCAAACTGAAATATGCATATCAGAGGTATGTATTTTTAAAGGCAAATATCTGCTTACAAGATTCAAGCGTTCAGAAAACAACAACAACATGGCTGAGAACATAATTCGTCGATTATGTTCTTTATGCCCAAGTTTATTCGAACCTAGACTAAGTTTAAACAGGTACAATTTAAATATCTGCAGTGTGTTTTAACCGAGGACGGAAAGTGCGGCACTGAAATCCGAAGGCGTATTGGAATAGTCAAATATGCCTTTCAAAAGTTAAGAACAGTATAGTGAAACAGAAACATTTCGTTAGAAACAAAGAAAAGTAAGTACTAAATGTGAATTTCTTCACAAATGAAAAAGCGACTTGAAGCAACAGAAATATGGTTCTACAGAAGGATGCTGAGAATACCATGGGCCGAACATGTGAACAACGGCGAAGTTTTGGAGAAAATGAAAACAAATGGACACTTAGAATTCTAAAACACTTAAATTCTAAGAATACTTAGAATCTCATCACAGATCACGAAGAGACTTGGGGTAACAAAAGAGCTTCTACAGAAGGATACTGAGAATACCAGCAAAAAGGAAACTTATTCTTAATATCAGGAAGAGACAGTTAAAATTTATAGGGCATATAATAAAAAAAGAGGGCTTGAAAAATTTGATACTCGCAGGAAGACAAGAGGAACAGAGGAAAACAACATATAACTTACCTCGTAACCTTGGATGACGGAAGTTATATTAGAATTCCTCTTTCGCGCTTCTCACCTTTGGAACTCTTTTTCCAGTTTCTCGCTTTCTTGTCAAATTCTTCTTGTTCTATGTGGCATGTTCCTTCCAGTCGTTGGCGATCATGGCTCTCCGCATTTTTTTTTTGTAGCACTTAGTAAATTTGGTCTTTTTTTCCTAAGCCCTCTCCTACCAGGCTCATTAGGTAGGTCATGCACTGTTTTCCGCTGTCTCTCTTGACTACAGTATGTCCTATGTGTCAAATTTTCAAAGCCTTCTTTCCTTATTATGTGCTCTTGAAATTTCAACTGTCTCTTCATGATTAACATTAGTGTGAGAAGTGTTCATTTTGTTCAGTCCATGGTAAAAAGGACAGAAAATTGTGAAGTGAGACGACAAGAAAAAGAAAAAGAAAAAGATTAGATTGACTTCTTGAGGATTTTTTCATTTTGTTTCACCAACACAAGACTCAAGAGCCACCCAATTTCTAAATGCGGTTGTTGTAATGGCGTAAAGGCATGGAGAAAGCGGTACAAAAAGATGAGGACATTTAGAATAGTTAACGGTACACCACAGACTTGAAGAGGTCGGTAGGTCGGGAGAAGCATCCTATCGTGTGTTTTTTCTACAAAGTTCTAGAGAAGAAGTTGACTGAATAGAACTTGCTCTTTAAAAATGGTATACGAAGGAAATGACGATGAATCGACTCTGTGTACGTGGATGCCGTGAAGTTCTGGTTTGTTCAGGAACATCTGCCATGAAAATAAAAATAGAACAATGAGAAGCTAGCGATATTTATTCTGAGAGAAAGGAGTTGTAGGATGGAAAACAATTCATCACCCACAAGGCTGCATAAACGATTTTGAATTCTATCAAAGTTGGAAAGTAAGGATTGGACAACTCCAGTCCAAATGTTTTGAAGGTTTGAGTGTAATGCTGATCATGCCAGATTGTGATTTTTCTCTTCTCTTTTCTCTCTATCACTTTCTCCTATCTCTCTCCCCCCTCTTTCTCTTCTCTCACTCTTTCTCATCTTTCTCTCTTCTCTCTCTCTCATTCTATCTCTTTCTCTTCTCTTTCTGTCCTCTCTCTTTCTCTTCTCTCTTTCTATTCTCTTCACCCTTTCTCTCTTCTTCCTCTCCTCTCCCTCTCTTTTCTCTCTCTTCCCTCCTCCCCTCTCTCTCTTCTCTTCTCTCTCTCTTTCTCATCTTTCTCTATTCTCTCTCTCATTCTATCTTTCTCTTCTCTTTCTGTCCTCTCTCTTTCTCTTCTCCCTCTCTCTTCCTATTCTCTTCACCCTCTCTCTCTCTTCTCCCTCTCTTGTCTCACTCTTTTCTCTCTCTTCTCTCTCTTTTCTCTCTCTCTCTCTTGTTCTCACTTGGGGCGAAATCGATTAAAAAATCAGATGTACGGAAATAGAAGATAAATTCAGCAAGTCAGCATCTGATATTTTTGTTTTTAAATAAATGAGTTACAAAGAGACAAAATACTCTAGTATGCAAGCCAGATATTAAAAGTTAGTAATTGTGTGGATGATACAAGCGTGTGGGTAAAAGTTCAATCTTCCAGGGAAAGATATCCCCATGCCCAGGAACAAGGTCCCGTTAGAAACGTTTTTTTGTGTGAAGGTAACTATATATATATATATATATATATATATATATATTGATATTCATCTCCAACACATATTGTAAGGGAATAGATTTTCATGGAGTAATTGCTCTTTAGGTTTTTTTTGTTGTTTTTTTTTGTTTTGTTTTTTTTTTTTGTGAATTCACTATGAAAGAAATACTCAGAATAAAAGCGATGTTGTTCGAAAAGAAGAACCTTTGGATCAATGAACGGGACTAGCTAGGTTAAAATCATGACAGAGACGGCCATTATTATTCCCACCCCTAAACATCGCCTTTTTTATGCATCTTACATGAAAAATAAACACGGTGTTCCCTTCTACCGCTATAAAAATCACAAAGACGAAACAAAGGGTTTCATTCAAGACTCAAGAACATTGGCTGCGACATACCTTTGAAGGCGAGTAAGTAACACTGTCCGAGGCTTTATGATAAAAAAAAATCCTCACTGAAAGTTAGACACCGCTAAAAGAAATCATTGAATAATAACAATATATTTTCTGAAATATAAATAAAATAAAACCTGCCAACTACTGTGGGTATTCATATGTAAGTGACTTACAATTTTATTGTACATTTTATGAGGTGCGTTGCTACAGAGGTACGAGGTGTTATGAACTGAAACGATTATATCGAACCAATTGCTGCTACGAAAATAGTTCTAAACAAACATTCTGAAGTGAAAAGGGTATATTTTACACCACTTATAAGTCAATCATTCATCCGTGCACTGAGAATTGTTGCCACGTCTAGTCTTAGTGTTTCTGCTATGTATCTAGAGATTCTTGACAAAATCTAAAGAAGAATATATAATGTCAGCAGTACTGACCTGGCATCTCGGCTTTAATCACGTAACGTGACTTCCCTGTTCTTCTTCTGTAAATATTTTCATGGAACTCGTTCTGATGAGCTTTCCTCTTTGGTACCACTTTTTTCACGAATTTAAGCGCACTTAGGTCTCATCGTTTCACTGTTGAAATTGCTAGTTGTATGTAACCCGAATCGCGAGTTCTATTAGAATTCTTCATTCGCGCTTCTCACATTTGGAACTCTTTTCCCGGTTTCTCGCTTTCTTGTCAAGTTCTTCTTATTCTATGTGGCATATCCTTTCCAGACGTTGGCGAACATGGCTCTCCGCAATTTCCTTTCTTTTGTAGCACTTAGTAAATTTGGTCTTTTTTTCTTAAGCCCTCTTCTGCCAGGATCGTTAGGCAGGTTATGTACTGTTTTTTGCTGTCCATCTTGCTTTCAATATGTCCTATGAGTGTCAAATTTTCCAAGCCTTCTTTCCTTATTATGTACTCTTGAAATTTCAACTGTTTCTTCCTGATGTTCTTTTTGTTTCCATTTTCTCTAATAAAACATACTCAGTCCAAGTTATTCTCAGCATCCTTCTGTAGAACCACATTTCTGTTTGTTCAAGTCTCCATCTGCAAAGAGATTGTCCAGCATTCACTGTCACAGAAGAGGATTTTCCGTTCTCTGTTAAAATACTTCCCAGATATTTAAAATTTTGTACTTGCTTGATTTTGAGATCCTCAAAAATGTAAATACAATATCAATCGTCATCTGTTGTCTCCTATTTATCGTCCTTCCTCCTCAGTAACGTTTTCTCAGTTCTCTTCACTCTTAAAAATCGCTTGCATGTTAGTGGCTTTATCGCCTTGCTTGGGGTGAAATGATTATAAGAAATACACAGGTGATTCTTTCAAAGGCGGAATAATATTTTTAAAAAAGTAGTTATACAGTAAGTATTGACTGTATTATAACAGCGGTTCTAGGATTCATTTAATATTAGAATTCATTTAATTCATTAAAATATTTTTAAATATTTTTATGTCCGTCATTTTTAAATAAAACCACTAAGATGCAAGGAGTCACTGAGTGTGAGAGAATATGAGAAAAAAATTATTAAGTAAATTGTCTCACAATGAGTCCAATAAAACAATGTCTAACTTGGACGAACGTACTAGGAAAAAATAGTGTCAAAAGGATGGTTTTTCCTTGACACCGCTATTATTTTAACTTCCTTTACTCCTTGGCAATGTTTATTATTCTAAAAAGCCATGATTAGAATTTTAATAAAACCTAAACACGTGATGAAAATGAATTTAGACATTTTTTGTCCTTGAGAATTTACAACAAAAATATTAAGCATTATTTACAAGAATAATTTTATATTTACAGCATTCTAAAAACTAATGCAATTAAAACTAATGCAATTTATAAAGAAATATGTTATGCACACAGACACCTATATGACGAAGACTCATTTTATTTCCTTTCTTCATAATGAAAAATGATTTTATTGCAAAAGATATTTTCTTTGCAACACTTATATCGTCACATAGTCTGGAAAAAGGAAATGATTTTTTAACGTCTTTCTAATTTTTATTTTATTTTATTTTTAATCATTTCACCCTAAGCAAAGCAAATAATGTCACTGAGACCCAATAGGTTAGTGAGTGTGAGAGAATATGAAAAAAAAAAAGATATTATTAAGTAGATTGTTTTTTTTTTACTGATGTGAACGATCAAGGCATTCCACAAATTTCTATCCTTTGTAGCTCTAAGTAATGTTCATCCACTTACTATCACACTGAGTTCAATAAAAAAATAATAAAAGAATGGCAAACTTGGACCTTTGTGCCTGCAAAAAAACAGAGTCAAAAGGATATTTTTCCCTTCACACCGCTATTATTTTAAGTATTTTAGGGGGGGATCAAATTCATCACAGATCTCAAGTGGACCATATGTACGATTTATTGCTGACTAGCTTAAAAGACGCCCTATCGTGCGGCATTTAAGATAGCTACTGAGCAGGGCTCTTGATTGGTCCTTTATCGCAATAGGAGTAGTAGATGCAATTGGCAATAATAAAATACCGAAGAACGCAAAATTGATCGCTGCATTTAAGTACTGCATTAATATTTAAGCTTACCTTTTAAAAGTTCAACGATAATCCTTTTACTTCCACTTAATTTAAAGTCAACCTGATGTACGTATCTCCTTACTTTCCGTACAAGCGATTATTTTCATTTCATGTGTGACTTACGCTGGATTTCGCAATTAATTTCGATTATTCCCAAATTTATTTCCAGTTTATCATAAAATAAAAATTCGTCGCAAAAAAAAAAAAAATCACCTAAAAAAATCGCTGAATACAATCGCAGTAATAAAATCTTGGGGATCTACATTTTCAGGATTGTGGGTCCGGATCCGCGGAGGAATGTTTTTAATTTGCTCACGGAGTCAGTCTGATTACAAAATGGTATCATATATTGGGTTACGGCCTCTAGGAATAAAGTTGAAAATGTATGACATTCGCATTTATTATATAGAAGAAGATGAGCTATTGAAGTTAGAGAGTCGTGTCCCTTTAAATGAAATAAGTGTGACACAATGGCACGCTGACATTGGCATTTATTATATGATGATGCTTGAAAATGGTCAGTTGCTTGTACCCCCCACTCTCCTGTCATGCTCTATCTTTACAAGAGCCAGACCAAACCAAAAAGACCCCTCCCCCACCAAAGGAAAATATCTGTATTGGTTTATCGGTTTGATATTGACGCAGTTACAGGAGTTGTTGGTAGGTGACATAACACCTTGTCCAAGCACATTGGGGCTTCCATTAAGGGTTAAATTCTTAGGTTTCTTTTATTCTGAAGATATAAGGCATTAGGAAAATGTTTCTTCAACAAGACTGGCTGATGCAAGGGAACCCAATCTGCCATTCTATTTAACCAACAGCTGAAGGAAAATTTATTCATGTCGTTTCTAATGCCCGTTTAACGCGAAAGGAACAAAACAGAAAGGAGCGGAATTTGAACTCGACACGCAGATTTTACTTCCCGCGCCGTTAGCACTGTCTGCACACCCTGGATAAAAAAAAAAAACATATTTATTCTATTTATGCGTATTCATTCTACACTAAAAATTTAGTTCTGAAGTATAAATTTCAAGAGTCAATAATACCACACCTGATTCTTTTTGTTAAAAGGTCATTTATTATTTTATTTCATTAACTTGAAGCCAACAAGTGTTAGCTATTGTGTCTATTCAGGGAAAGAAGAAGCAGAACAAAAGTCCGATGAAGGTCAGGGTCAATCTCCTTTGATGAGGAAAAAATACCCACAATCCCTGAATTTCACATATAAATGAAGCATTTTTTACATTCATATCTTTTTTTAATAGATTAGAGAAAACGACTGGCTGGCGGTTAGGAAATTTTTGAAAAATTATATTTGAGATCATCAAATCTAAAAATAAAAATAGCCATGTGGTAAAAACACGGCCAGTGATTTTCTCATGCTTTGTGTTATGTCCGTATCTTGATTTTAAACTGCTATACCAGGTGTAACAGCGAAATTGTCCAAATCATGGAACAGCATGGGATAATTGTCCATCCCACAAAATGTTTAATATCTAAAAAAACTACTAAACTAATTGAGTTTCTTTTTTCCAGGTTTTCAGATAATACGTTTAGCCATCTTTATACCATTTTTCGTAAGAATCACTGAAAAACCCTTTGAGTTATTCAGTTAGAAAGAGAACATGTTAAAATCGTTTTGTGTCAGCTACACTATATCTCCCCAACTAAGCAATGGTGAGAGGAAAAAGATCATTCAGGCCTTCAGTAATGGTACCAATATTCATACTCTGGCTTCCATCTTCAAAGTCCATTCAAGAACCATCAAGAAAACGATGAATAATTTTAAAAAAAAGAGGAAGCAGTAGAGAGGAAAACTGGATCAGAAGGTCACAACAGGAAGAGGGATCATCAGT